ATAGTTTCTGGTCTTACATTTAGATCTTTAATCCATTTTGAGTTTATTTTTGTGTATGGTGTTAGAAAGTGTTCTAGTTTCATTCTTTTACAAGTGATTGACCAGTTTTCCCAGCACCACTTGTTAAAGAGATTGTCTGGGAAAAACAAATTAAAACCAAGATGACAGACTTGCCTGGTGGTTCAGTGGGTAAGACTTCACCTTTCAATGCAAGTCTGATCCCTGGTCAGGGAACAAAGATTCCACATACTTTGCCACCCAAAAACCAAAACATAAAACAGAAGTGATACTGTAACAGATTGAATAAAGACTTTAAAAATGGTTCACATAAAAAAAAAATCTTTAAAAAAAAGATGAAATAACATATTATGCCCCCCAAATTAGGACAGTGGATTGTATCAAATATTGATAATACTGCAACAGGCTGGGGCCTCTCATGTACTGAAGGAGTAAAAGTATGAAAGCCATGATGGTAAAAACTGAAGAAGTACTTTTGAAGAATTAGGGCAGCAGAGGATGAGATGCTTAGATAGCATCACTGACTCAATGGACATAAATTTCACCAAACTCCAGGAGATAGTAAAGGACAGGGAAGCCTAGTGTGCTGCAGTCCATGGGATCACAAAGAGTTGGAAACGACTTAGTGATCTAACAACAACAACATCCTATAAACCAAAGATCCCACCCCTCTCTCTATAAGGACTGCACAAGGAGGTAGATGATGAATCCATCAGAATCCAAACAAGAAAATAAAAATTCTGCTAGCATTGCAAGTGGGATACTTAATACAGGGAGTTGACTAAACAGGTGTAGGAAGGATAAAAGAGGTCAGAAGACACTGGGGTAACTCAGAGATTGGTAACTGGAGGGTAGCAGCTGCCATTTCTAGAACTAGGGGGACAAAAGGAAAAAGCGGTAGGACATCAACACAGCGGCTTTGAGGAAGGGTTCTGGGGTTGGTACTGAGACCTCCGAGAGCAAGGTGCCATAGACAGGTGCGTGGACCACTCAAGAGGTAGCCAGCTACTACTCAGAGCGGTCCCAGGACGCGTGATGCTTCTGCTGCTTACACCTCCAAGAAGAGCACTGGGCTGGGGCCCTAGCTGCCGGCTGTTGGTGGAAGAATGCCAGGAGGCGCTGTAAGTGAGCAGAGGGGCCCCTTCCCCCTCCTCACGCTTTGTGTGATCTTCTGCCAATACCTTCCATTGGGAAGAACAAAACCAGAAGGCAGCTGGCAAGGGAGTCTGGGAAATGCAGCTTGTGGAACCCAAGCTTCAGGACGGTTGGCTAGAGTGAAAGGCAATAAGCAAAAGATTTACACCCCAGTGGTTCCCCAAAGGCTCAGTGGGGAAGAATCTGCCTGCAGTGCAGGAGCTGCAGAGACTTGAGTTCGATCCCTGGGCAGAGATAATCTCCTGGAGGAGGGCATGGTAACCCAGTCCTCTATTCTTGCCTGGAGAATCTCATGGGCATAGGGGTCTGACGGCTACAGTCCACAGGGTCACAAAGAGTCAGACATGACGAAAGTGACTGGGCATGCACGCATGTCACTGTGGTAGCAGGAGACTGCAGCCAAAGTAGGTGGCCATGGCTAGAGGGGTATTAAATCAAATGTCATGGGTGCATACAAATGGAATAGGTAGCTGTGAAGAGCAGGCAAGTACATGTGAGTAAGCAATATGGATATATCCCAAGAACACTGCTGAGAGGGAAAAAAGCAGGAAAAAGCATTAGATTTAAAGCATTCCATCGTATATGTAGGGTTTCTCTGGTAGCTCAGGAGGTAAAGAATCTGCTTGAAATGCATGAGACCTGGGTTCGATACCTGGGTTGGGAAGATTCCCTGGAGAAGAAAATGGCAACCCACTCCAATATTCTTGCCTGGGAAAATCCCATGGACAGGAGAGCCTGGCTGGCTACAGTCCATGGGGTTGCAATGTGTTGGACACGACTGAGCGAGTAACACTCACTCTCCATGTACGTACGTTTAAAGTCATAACAGAAGCTTCTAGGCTGCAGGACACAGGACGGTGCTGTGAGGGTGGGATGCCTGCAGAAGGCATGGAATTCGTAGCGCCCTGCCCTGAACTGTGCCCTGTGCATCCCTTCCATCTGACTGTTCCTGAGTTACATCCTTTTATGATAAAGTAGGAATCTGGGAAACAATTTTAAAAACCATAACAAAACAATATTATATATTTAAGAGGTTGAATACATATTTGAAGACATAGGAGTGGCAGGATAGGACAGAAGGAGAGATGCTGAGATGGAAATTATAGAGTCAGGCTGCCAGTAGGGGAGCAGTAGTTAGTCGGTCAGTAGTGTCCAGCTCTTTGCGACTTCATAGACTGTAACCTGCCAGGACCCTCTGTCCATGGAATTTTCCAGGCAAAATACTGAAGTGGATAACTATTCCTTTCTCCAGGGGATCTTCCTGACCCGGGGATCGAACCCAGGTTTTCAACATCATAGGCAGATTTTTTACTGCCTGACCCACCAGGGAAGACCCCTTTGAAGATATAGATATTACATATCAAATGGCGCCAAAGCTGCTACATAAAGTCCAGTTCCTAGGATTATGCAATACAGTTGCTCTGGTGGTGGCCTATGCTATGGAGTGAAGCATAAGTGGCAGTTAGAAAGAAGGG